ATCGACTACAATTTAAATCCTACATTAGACTGTATAAAGTGGCCATTGTGGGTAGATCTAGTACAAAGCTCCCATTCACCACTGTTGGTATTTACCACACGAAAATGACACAGACTGTTTCTCTATCTCTTGTTTAGATGGAGAAAGAAGTGTCGGAATTCATTCAAGACAGTGCACAACAGAAACGTAAATACAATCCTATGGGGAAGATTGAGAGGAGTATATTGTAAGTAGTGATTACTTCAGATAATTACAATACGTAATGCAAGACACATGACCAGTGTCCTCATGTGTTTGCCTGTCATTCCTTCCTGTCTCTTAGGCATGACGTTTCAGAGGTGGCCGGTCTGACTTCTTTTTCTTTCGGGGAGGAGGAGGAGAGCCGTTACGTCATGCTTTTCAAGAAGGTCTGAATACTTTACTTTCAAGTAGGGGTGTAACGGTTCACAAACATTTCGGTTCGGTACGTACCTCGGTTTTTTGGTCACGGTTCGGTTCGGTACGTTTTCGGTACAGCAGAATTTTTTTTCACAAAACAAAACATATATATATATTTTTATTATTATTATTAAACTGTGAATAATGTATTCACTCAAATAAATACAAAATATAATAAAATAAACATTAAGGTGCAGCATTTCGATGAACTGAAATAATCTGTATTTGAACTTTACTGTACTAGTACTCACAAAACATAAACTATTAGTTTTGGGTTTTTAATTATTATTAAACTGTGAATATTCACTCAAATAAATACAAAATATAATAAAATGAACATTAAGGTGCAGCATTTCGATGAACTGAAATAATCTGTATTTGAACTGTAGCCTACTGTACTAGCACCTAAGCAGCCAGCTTGACATTAGGACTTGCTTTTCATTGTATTTTCATGTTTTTTTAAAGAAAAATTAACTTGTCCACATTGCTGCTGAAAGGGCAGATCTGCTGGCACTAACAATGTCTCCTGCTGTGGAGAACACCCTCTCGCTAGGGACAGATGTAGCAGATACAGCCAGGTAGCGCTTTGCTAACATGGCAACATAAGGATATTTGGTGTTTGTAATAGCTTTGGCTCGGTCTGAACTCTCTGCGAGTGGTGGAGGCTTAAATGCTAGTGGGAGTTGGGTTTGCACTTCAGTCTTTTTTCTTTTGGTACCGGTGATATTCACGTTCGGGTGATGCCTTTTCAAGAGTGTGCAAGTTTGATGTATTGCCAGCCGCGTAACCAATTTTAGTTGAACAATGCCGACAAACAGCTTTGGTTCGGTCCACCTGTCTTTGTCCGTCATCCTTGTACGTAACTGCGAAACCAAAATGTTCCCAAACCGGAGACTTCAATGATGCTGGAGGATTTTCGAGCTCAACTTTATCTGCGTTCGCCATTAATTTTTGACAGTACCTCAAATTACTGACTACATTTGAACGCATCCCTCTGACCAGCTCTCATAGTATGCCTCTCATCCAATGAAATGACTTGCTCGCTCTATGACGCGTTGAACCCAATGTGAGCAAATTACTCTGAATGCTGCGACGCAGCACCTGAGATTACTTCCAAAAAGTTATTCACGTTCTCAATTTTTTACGTTTAACGTTATATTCGTTCGGTACACTTCGGTACACACCTGTACCGAACCGAAGGGCCCGTACCGAATAATTTCGGTACGGGTACGTGTACCGTTACACCCCTACTTTCAAGTCAGTGTTTGATTTTAAAACAATGTGGAGAAAGGTGACTCATTTCCATGTTTTGCCGTGGCAGGAGTTTGCTCCATCAGATGAGGAGCTGGAAGCCTATCGAAATGGAGAGGAGTGGGACCCCAAGCTGGCAGAGCAGCGGCGCAGACTCAAGGTGAGGCGGAGACCACTTTTCAAGATTCAAGGCTTTACTGTCTATACTGTAGATATGGCAATGAAAAACTTAAATCACAGGCTCCTCCAACAGTGCAACATGAATATATAGGACATGGAACAAATACAACAGATAACATAGGGCAAGAGAATAGAAATAGTGCAAGAAGAGTCTACAAGTAAATGGAATATGATATATTAGATCAATAATTAGCAAGATGCAAACAGATGAATGTTTATGGATGGTCTTTAAAAATGTCAGGTGTTTAATAGTCTTATTGTCTGTGGAATGAAACTGTCTCTGAGTCTGGTAGCAATGGTAACATGCAGGTCTCAAGTCCAATAAGCAACCTGATCTGTCTTACGTAAAACTACCAGCATCAAACTTACTAGTTACTTATCTTACGAGGGACCTTTCCAGATCCTTTTCAACACGGCACCATATAAATGTAACGGCTGCAGCGGCACAAGTGAAACGGGCAGAGAGGGAGCAGAAAACAAACAACCTGTGATTATCTTATCAGTCTTCATCCCATATGAATAACAACAACAATTAGAAAAAGCTTATTTTAGATGGTTTGCTGCCATTTTGAACAAATTCAACATGCATGTAGGGAGAGAAAGGATAATAAAAAAAACATTACGTTTTTTTACAGACCCCCCCCTTTCAATGGAGCTTAAAGAAATACAATTACATCCTTTACTCGTAATGCCTTAACTGGTCTGCTTTAGATTTAGTCATGTTGTGTTCCTTTTTTCCTGTAGTTTGTATACACAATTTGCGTTTGACTCTCATTACTCTCTCAGGATCTCTGTGGACAGTGTTTCCGCCAGACCAGGGCTGAGAGGGCGTCCACCCCGAGAGCGGGGGGGGGGTTGAATTTTGACTTGAGCCGTCTCTTATAGATACTGTCATTTTGTCCTTTTTCCTTTTCGTCATTTCAAACGATAAAAACTCTCGATCTTCTCTCGAATTATTAAAGGCGAACTGAATAAAGGCGTCAAATGACGGCAAGACGCCCCCCTGGCGGAAACGCTGTCTGTGGATAATATGTGTCAATGCATTTACTCAAGTAGAATCTCATAAGGCTGGTTGAGAGGCAGGAGGTTAAATAAATGTGCGTTTTATAGCCAAGCCAATTTCACATGGCGGCTGGATGATATCTAACCCTGTATCAGTGGTTGAATTATCCTAAAATGTTCCTAATAAGTCTCTTTCTATGTCCTTGTCACTGCAGGAACAGGCCGCGTTGGAAGAAACAGCATCCAGTAAGACAAAGAAAACTGAAATGTGTCCTAACACCAACTACAGGGACAAGTACGTCCACCTGATCGGCACCTCGGCTGCCAAAGATGCAGCACACACACTAGAGGCCAACAGGGCTTATGGCTGCGGTGAGTAAATACTGTCACACCGATTGATTGATTGGCTATACTTAAGTCCTTCTCCCCCCTCCTGAATTGATTTATCATGTAAATAATGTTCTCCTCCAGTGCCGGCAGCAAACAAGAGAGACACCCGCTCCGTAGAGGAAGCCATCGACCAAATCAGAGCGAAGAAACGGCAGAAGCAGGAGGAAGACTCGGGGGCACCCAGCAGCAGCTCCTGAGACTCCACCATGTTTATGTCTACCATTTCGTGTGTGTGTGTGTGGGTGGGTGTGTGGGGGCATTAGTGTGTCTGTGACCATTCTGATTCATTCTATAATGCAATACCTTGTAATTCAGACATTTAAAAGTATAACTTATATTACAGGCGGTATGTCCCTCTGAATGTGTTGAAATCATGAGATTGTGTTTAGTGGAGGATGCTCAGGTGAGTCTCAATTCAGGAGCTGGATTTTTTTTTAGGTCTTTAATGTTTGTTTGGGACTTTCTCGCAGTTGTCAAGCTGCTCTCACACAATAGGATCCGATACCTTTTGACAAAACAGGATTTCATTTTTAAACAATGTTTCTGGGATGTTTGATGCAGATTTGCATCTACATTCCCAAGTGACATTTTTATCAATAAAGTATTTACAATTTTAAGCTATGGCCAGGCCGGATGCAGTGTTTTAAATGCTACATTTTAGACAAAGCATGGCTGCAGTCAGTGTTCCCAAAATCCAGTGCAGCTTTTAAAAGGGAAACAGGAATGCCCTTTTATTTTTTCACCTGTTTCAGATCTTTGTACATTTGGACATTCGCATGCCGTTGCTTCCATTTCAAGAGGAATCTCCTTTTAAGAAAATCCAATATTTTGTGGATTTTAGACATTTGTGATTTCGCCCGAGATGTTCGATGCATCTGCGCTGACTGTGAATGAAGCTGTTACTCCAAACTAAATGTTTTCTTATGAAGCCAGGTGACGGCTTGCAATAGGCATCACAGCAGGGAGCAGAGGTACCAGACTCATCGTGGGAACATCTGTTTTGTTTGATATCTTAAAGTGTGTTCCTTGGCATCTTGTTGTCTATTTTAACATGGTTGCACTGTTTTATTCCCCTTGTGTGTAATTAAATGGAGAACGATATAAGAACTTTGTCTTTATGTTGCCCTCATTTCTGCCTAGCCTAATCTTTGCATCTAAGAGAGGTGTGCATTTATGAGCTTTATTTGGCACTGGTTCAATGGAACTCAATTAATTGACATTTAATAATCTGTGAACTGTACTCGAGGCCTTTCATCTACTACATTTCAGAATGAGTTTTATTTGAGAAATATACTGTAAATAGCTCCTAAATTAAAATACATTGGTAAGGATTAAACCAATAAAATGCAAAGTTAAAATAATATCAGGCCTTAACCAGCAAAAATAAAATGCATTTTTAATTTAAATATATATATTTGTTACCATGGATGTTGTAAGTAGATTAAGCAGCCAAAATGTGTATACTTTTACATTACTAAATTATATATTGAAGATTAATGTATTCTTATTGTAAAGTCTGAAATAGCTTCTCATGCTGGACTGAAAGATCGTAAAATCCTCCACATGTGTTATTTATGACTATCCAATCTGATCTATTTTAGGCTCATGTGGTCACTCTTCAGTTATCCCTGTGGCAGAGCTGGCGCTACCAGTTATCTCCTGCAGGAGGCGCCAGAGATCAACCAAGAGCCCAAGAAGTGAGTTGTTTTTTTTGTAACCTTCTCTCACACTGTCCTGCAGTTTCTGTCCTGCACAAACAGACTTATTGCGCGGTTAAGACCCAGACACGCACATGTAAAAGATGAAGTCCACGTTTTTCTTCTTTTTCATCATTTGGCTTGCAGATGCAGAGCTGAAAACCCGGAAAGGTAAGTCCCAGCTGATACTCTGTCCTGGTCAAACTTCAGAGGGGTTTAACATAAGGAAAAGCATGTTAATGTGACTCAGATAAGGAAAGTTTGGTCGGACTCAGCCAAAACTGAACTTGTATTTAGAATATGTTGCTCTATGGCCCTGAACATAACTTTGGTGTTCTGTGGTAAAACGTGTGCATATAATACTGTCACTGAAGCCACTAACATTTTAACTTGTGTTTACCTTAACCCATAAGAACCCGCACCCATTTCTACTTTGGTGAAAATTAAGGGGAACATAATGTAGACTAAATAGACCACATAGAACACATTTCTGACAAGTAACCCCCCCCCCCCCCCCCCCCCCCCCCCCCCCTAGTGTCATTGGGCGTTAATAGTAAAGTAACTCTTACTTATAACTTAATTAATGAGGATGATTGTTTTGTTTAAATTAGTTTGAACATTCTTTGAATTGAAGAATAAAGAATATATTAACTAAATATAATTGAACAAGCTAAATTAACTGAGCAAATCATAATCATATTTCTAATTGTGACATATGTGTCACTCCAGATTTACTGTAAACAGTTTAAGGTTAATGTCCCGATGTGAGTGTCACAGCGATATGTATCTAATTTGTTTCATATCAATTCGATCAAAACATGTTTCCACAACAGGTTAAATGTAATAAAGGACATGTTATGTAAGCATTTTAATTCTTAAATGGCTTGAATTTGACCTTTAGCAACAAAAAACAAGCTTTTAAAATATAGCTAGTTCTGTCACATGTATTAGTCTGGCACATGGACATCTTGGACATGTTGTTATGGGAACACAAAATCAAATGTCCGGGCCCATGACCCACCAGACTGTTCAGTGTGTGTCACTTGGGTACTTCATGAGATAAAAACAAGGCTACAGCTGTATAAGGAACTTTCCAGAACATTTAAATGTCATGTAACACCTGTGTCACTGTGGGTTCTTATTTAATGGGACAAATGGGATCATGGCCCACTTTGAGCTGATTGTGGGTTTCACTAAATGGCTTTGACAAATATTGTGATAGTTAACATCGAAGTGCTTTTGATTTTATGTTCACTTCTGCCACATGGAGCTCATCCTGCTCATTTTTGGCTCCCAGGTTCTCGGGTGGTATGCACTTTCAAAGACAAGACATACAGCCCAGGAGACAGCTGGCATCCTTATCTGGAGCCCTTTGGATTCATGTACTGCATGCGCTGTGTCTGCTCAGAGGTATCTTTGTACAGTTACATATCACTCCTATACAAACATCTACATATAATAATAATCTTTATTTGTATAGCACCTTTCATACAATAAGTGCAGTTCAAAGTGCTTCACATAGTCATTTCCCAGAATATTGATATCACACAGAATACAGTTACCAGTAAAAGACATAAAAACAAACTAAAAAATAGCATAGAGTAAACATAAAAAATACATTTAGATTAAAGGTATAACGATTAAATTGTGCATTAAAAGGAGGATAGTGCAAATGCAACACACAATCAGGTGACAGGTTAAAATCCAGTGAGAAAGTGCAGCAGAGAGTTTGCTTCCTAAAAGGCTAGATTGTACAAATGTGTTCCACCGCATATACTGCTCTAAAACTGTGAAGAACTCTGTGTATGTGATTTAAATGTGCTTTTGAACTCTTATATTGCTCTCTCTTAGACAGGCCATGTGAAATGCAAAACGATCAAGTGCCCTGCTCTGCCCTGTGAACACCCAGTAGCTGAGCCTCAGCAGTGCTGTCCCAGATGCACAGGTAGACGTCCTCTAATGATCCTATCAGATCTGAGCTTTAGAGTTCTGCTGGTGACTTTAAGGCCTGCTGTCCTGTGTGGTGTGTCCTCCTCAGATGAGCCCAGGACCCCTGCAGGGCTGAGAGCTTCAGTGAAGTCCTGCAGGTACAACGGGAGTGTTTATCAGCCGGGGGAGACCTTCACCAAGCTCGACCTCTTCCCCTCCAAGCAGAGCAACCAGTGTGTCGTGTGCACATGCTCTGTGAGTTGCATCTAATGTATTACTTGTTTTTATCTATTGATATAAATGCATGCAGTATTTTTTTTTACGAAATCCAAGTTTTAATCAAGCATGTAGCCTAATCTGTAAAACATTCACTATACTAATTTTCAGAGCAAAGTGATGGTGTGTTTTATGGACCAAAAAACAAACAAAGAAATTGACAGACATTTTTTTGAATATTTAGATATATTCCTATTTTAGCAATAAAATTAATTCCCAATTAATAGTTAATATGTCGTTTCCCAAATCCTCTTTTAATTAGCAATTGTTGTTTTCCCTCTTCAACAGCATATCCAATGTTTTCCACCACAGCCTTTAAGTTTGCTTTTATTAAATGGTTATTTAACTCATTCTAAAACTTCTCATATATAAAGCATTGCAATATTTTAGACTTTTAAAAACTTTTTGCATATATGCCTGGATAGCATCTCTGCCTAGGACTCATAACTGCTTTGCTATGCAGTGAAAGTATAAATGTATAATTAAATGTATATTGTAGTAAGTAATGGCATCTTGCTTTGGTTCATGTGTTGGCGAAGCTTGGTTGTGATTGGCAAAAGAAAATGCATGCCTATTTTAATTTAGAGAGCCAACATCAGAAAGAATAAGTAAATGAACTTCACTGTGGGGTTTCCCCCATTAAAAGCCCCATGATGAGAGGAGTTAATTTGAGTTGTTAAGTGGTGTTTGTTCACAGATGTTTCCAAGGAGACAAGTCTTAACACTATAATTAGCAAAAAGACTCCCCGCAAATCACCATTATCCTAATGTTTTCCTGCCATGGATCTATTAGTGTATATGTTATTGTTTTAATCTCTGCAGTTTGTCTTCAGGTTTGCTTGTAATGGAACATCCTCACAGCTTTTCGTATGACTGTGATATTCTCTGCATGTTTTTGATAGGACAGAACCTTGCTTGTGCGGAAAAATTACGTTTTAATCAATTTCCATGAAAAGCTAAATAAATATAATGTCTCATTATGTCTTTGCTAAGTTGTTTTAAAAAAAACATTGGATCTCTAAGACACTAGGTCAAGAGAGGCCTGCAGAAACCTTGCAGTACTTTAGACTTGGCCTCTGGACTTATATAATATAAAAAGTTCGACATTTTCTTTCTCAGAATGGAAATATCTTCTGCGGTCTGAAAACATGCCAACCAATCACCTGTTCCTCTGCTGTCTCAGTCCCAGACACTTGCTGTTTGGTGTGTAAAGGTACTCAAACTCATCCAAGCTCACACACTGGTTTACTCTTTATCCAACCTTTACAAACAAATGTTTTAGCCTATGCATATGACATAATTTTTTCAACAAATATAAAACATTGAAATTAAACCACTTATCGAAAACGATGTTCTAAGTAATGCAGTTTGTTCCACTGTAAATCACAACACAAAGAAACTCCTTGATGTGATCATATTGTTACGATGACAATTAGCAACTGAATTTAAATCTATTTAATGTTAATTATAATGTCCTCACACTTGTTTCTTTTCTCCTTGGTCTTTTAGATACTGGCACAAGTGGGTCCTCATCAACTGAGGAGGGAAACCAGCAACTGAACAGAGGCGTTGTATGTTCTAGCTGATTTATCATAAAACTAACATGTCTTTGCCAAGGCTGTCATATGAAACATGCCTATTTTTGGAAATATATTGAAATGTAGTGTCCTTGAACACAACACTGAGGTACCTGCATGCTCACACTGACCTATGACCTCTGTGGGAAAGTGTGGGGGGGGGGGGATACAATTAGTCAAATCCTTTCTGAATAATCAATTTTGCTGTGATTTTTGAAGAGAATGCTGTTAAAAAGATTTCCCCTTAAGATCCCCTTGGCCTGATAAAAAGGTTGAATTACATCGTGTTCTATTCAAAGTGCTGAAACAAATCTGAGATATGGGCCGTGTTTCAGAGATCTGGAGCCAGGATATAAACTTTTATGATTAATGAACTAAATGTGATGCTCCTTTAGCTATCACTCATGGAGAAAGCCAGGAAAGCCGAGGGCTGAGTAGATGAAGGATAACCGTGTTTTGTTCTATCTGTTTTAATAAAAGAGGCATTCAGTGGATCAGTGTTCTGGAGAGCCGGGCAGGGTGCGGTTCGACCGTGCCACTCCCCCCAGGGTCAGGGCTGCTCCCAGAGGCTTCGCTAGATTCAACCTCAAAGGGGCTTCAGAGACCACCGTGAAGATTTTGTTGCAGAGGAAACACCATAGAGGTGAGACTTGGTCCTAACAAAACGATCCAGTATAGGTATTTGATTTTATAGTCATGTTCCTTACAACTTTACGATCGCTTCCATATGCAGTGCAACCCTCAGCTGTTTCCCATTTCTCTCAGCGTGTTCCTACAATAGCAAGACGTACTCTCATGGAGACATGTGGCACCCAGTTTTGGGTAAGGTCCTGGAATGCATCCTGTGCACTTGTACTGATGGCCTCCAGGACTGCAAACGCATCACTTGTCCCAGCCAGTACCCATGCCAACATCCTATGAAATCAGCGGGAAAGTGCTGCAAGACTTGTCCAGGTAAACAAACACGACTCATAACATAATGAAGTGTTTACACTGACATGATGTTGATTAGAACACCATCAACATAACTTGTGTCTGTTTTTGTTGCTTTAGAACATAAAACTGAACGTAACCAGACCCAGTGTTATACTGGACATAAAAGCAATGTCTTCGTGTATAAAGTGGACTCATCGATGAAAGTGGACCCACCCGACACGGTCAGGATCATTGCTGTTGAAAAACAAAGTACTGCTGAGGTCGAAGTGCAAGTATGGAAGACTGTAGAAGGTACTGTAACTGTTAGTGAGAACCATATCAAAGGAATAGTTTTACGCTTTTGTTGGATGAGAGAGCATTGAAAGCACTCTGACCACTATGAAGCCAGCAGGCAGTCTTTCGAGCCTATGTGAAGATGCCTTGAACCTGCCTTTTTCCCCTGATAGCCAGCAGGGGGCGTTGCAATGTTTGCATATAAGAAGTCTGATTGTATAGAAGTCTATGAGAAAATGACCCAACTTCTCACTTTATTTATCATCTCCGTTAACCATTTCCTGATAATTCAAGTATTTTTCAATAGAGCATGGTGTTTGTTTAAAAAATGATGGTCCCATTTAGAGTAAAATAGACAATAAAGCAACCTTGGCTACCTTGTGAATATCGGTTACTCCCACGTTGTTGTCCATGTCTTTCTTCTAAGAAATGTAACACTTTTAAATGTTTCTCATCTGAATTCTTCCTTTATACAGGTGTTTTAGAGCTAATGGATATTGGTGACGTTGAAAGAAAAAATATTGTGGATAATCCAGAAAATTACACATTACTGACAACACTTAATGAAGGTTTGTTCTATGCCTTTTTTTATTTCGCAAAACGACCTATTTTGGTATGACAGATTAATGTGAATTCCGGTTTGTTTTTCAGAGACGTGGAAAAAGTTTAAAGAGGAGGGAGAACATTTGAGTACAGCTCCTCAGACGACAATCTGTGAAGACGGCATTCGGGAGATGGTGACTTTCTTAAATCCCAAGCAGACAGAAGACGTATGCTCACCCTGAAGGTTGTTTTACTCCCGTGACACTCCTTGTATCGACCAATAACTACATGGATATCATACAGTAAATACTTTATTCATACATGTTGAACTTGGATGTCCTGCGTCATTCCTGTATTACAAGTGGAATTTCAAAATTATAATACTGTTTTTCGTGTTTTTAACCATCACACATATTTTAAAGTTACAAAACACAACTGGCAGATAGTTCTGACACCTTTCTTGATTAAAATGTGGTTTTGTTTTGTGGAGTATAGAGATCAGAGTTTAGAGCAGGAGACGCCCTCAGTGTGAATCTTTTGGATGATTGAGGACCTTTGGGGATCAGCATTTTAGGCATCTGTTCAAAATGTAAAGGTTTTCTAAGGCTGTTATATGATTATCAACATATTTATTGTTAATACAAACAGAGCTTTGACAACTTATTTAAAATATATGTTTTGTTGAATGCTTTTTGTATATACATTTACATTTCTTTGCATCCAGAGTCATTTTATTAGGGTTTGATCTGTCAGCTAATACAGGGCTGTGCCGAAGCTGCTTGTTTTTTAGCGAGAAAACAGCCTTTTCCTAATCCTTCTGATGTGAAAATGAAGACATTGTGTAGCTATTTTTATGCAGCCACAGGATTTGGTTTGTTATTATACACTAATGACTTTCTATCAATCCACATACCAGAAATATTTCTTTTTTAAAGTGGTCATATTCGATATAGCTGAATGCACTCTGTACACCTGCTTACAATTTTAACCCATAAAGTTATTCAGTGTTTTACACAAGTCAAAATTGTTGTGTGATTGGTTTATGGTGTCTATATAGTGGAATAATTGAAGTCAAACACATTCATCATTTAAGACATGGCTTATAGAGCTCAGAGTTGTCTTTGCAGGCGTTGCTTCAAAGCTATTTGCTGATTCATTTATGGTCGGCAGCAGAGCGGTTCTAACTCCGGATGGCGGATAAACTGTTTTCCAGCTGGAGATGAAATGTTATCAGAGGCATGAAAATCAAAAGCAGCCGTTCAAACCTTCTTCGCCTCCCACACCCACCAAACTCAAACACAAACACACATAATATTTTCCCAATATCAACCCGAAACCTCTATCATTTCTAGTAGGGAATAGGTGCAGAAAGAGACTTGATTGCATAGAAGTCTATGAGAAAATAACATGACTTCTCACTTGATTTATTACCTCAATATATATTTATGAGTTTATTGAATCAATGGCTTCTGTTAAGTCCTCTTCAATACAATATATGATTAAAAATGTTGCAAATTATTGTCCCCTTTTAAGAAAATCTAAGTCAAAGTCAACTTTATTGTCAATATTTCAGTTTGTGTAAACAGACAGAGATCGAAATACCATTTCCCACAATCCCGAATACAAAAATAAAAATGTATAAAAAATATTTATATACCTATATATACACAATCAAAAGACACAAAATACACTAAAGATTAGTGTCTTACGGCATGGTACCTTGTGCTTGATATGTGGCTACCACTGTGTGCCTGATTTTGGTGTTGTTGTTTTTGTTTTGCATCTTTAACCCTTTTACACATTGTCATTTTAGCTATACGTTAAATAATACGAGACAATGTCATGGAGATAATGATGTAAGCATGATTATTATGAGTCCTTTTCCCGAGCAGCACAGTGTGCAGTCTGTCCGGAGGCCTGTTTGGTCAACAGGTGTCAAATTATCGCTGCGGTTCCCATGACTCAGCTAGAGTGCAACTGCAGAGACTGAGTGGGCTTCAGATTAATATTGCTTCCCTTCTCTGTGACCTCCCGACGTGCTCTCCCTGTCCCCTCCCCTTCACAATGACTCATTGTGTTTCTTTCACACTTAGCGCCAGACAGCTCTCGCTCTCTCACTAAAGGCATGAAACAATATTTTGAAACGGACGCACTCCCCTTGTACGCCTTCATTACTCTCACAAAAAGGCTGTCATATTTCTGTGTAAGCTGGTGGGCCTGGCAGTCTATTACAGCCTCTCTAGTTCAAAGCGGATAATCACGTCAAAAGGGGTGAGAAAGGTCTGTTCTACTGTATTGCTGCCAACTTAAATTAAAAATGTTCTCGTTACCCTTTTCCCATGCAGCTCATTTAATGATGTGTCCAGTGTGTCCAGATTTAAAACAAGGCTGCTTTTCAGCAAACATGCTGCATTCTGCGCTGCATATTTCCATGACTTTTTCTATTTTGATGGAAAATCAGTCCTCATTTTGTGGATGTTTGAATTTGTCTCATGGGCCAATTCAGCTATGCATGCTTAGTCTTGGCTCCAACAATTGTAACAGCTGGGGCAGTCGGTAGTTATAAATCATCATGCAGTCGGTCATCTCTCTCTGTGTGTGTGTGTGTGTGTGTGTGTGTGTGTGTGTGTGTGTGTGTGTGTGTGTGTGTGTGTGTGTGTGTGTGTGTGTGTGTGTGTGTGTGTGTGTGTGTGTGTGTGTGTGTGTGTGTGTGTGTGTGTGTGTGTGTGTACCCCCACCCTGTAACCCAGGTTCAGTGAGAAATAAAATACGAGACTCTGGGTCATGACTCTGCCCAGTATCTGAGGCGCGTCGGAGCCATTGTTGTGATATTAACGCATCGTGTTTTATACGTCGCAGAACATCATCCATGCATGTCACAGGAAAGGTTAAGTGTTAAAGAGGCCCATTGTGCTTTTTGGGGTTTTCCCTTTCCTGTAGTGTGTTATGTAGCTTGTTGTGGATGTAAGTGGTCTGCAAGGACTAAAATCCATGTGCCCCCCCCCCCCCCCCCCCCCCCCCCCCGCCTGAAACGCCTCCATTTGACTACTTAGTTTACTTAGTGACATCACTATGTAAAACAGACTGGTGCTACTATTGGCTAGCGCTCCAACACATGGGGGGCGGGACTTCTCTTAACGGTTTGACCAATCAGAACAGAGCCGGCCAGCTAACCAATCAGAGCAGACTGGACTCTGGTTTCAGACGGAGGGTGAAAAGAGGTGCTGCAGCACAGGCAGTATGAGACAAATAACGAGCTTTTGAACATTAAATTACATTACATGTCACTTGTTAGACGCTTTTATCCAAAGCGACTTACATACTCAATACTGTGGACAATCACCACAGGAGCAATTTGGGTTGAAGTGTCTTGCCCAGGGACACAACGACATGCTGACTGCAGTGGGGTTTGAACCTACCCCCTGATCCGAACACCAACGGCGCTCAACCCACTGCGCCACACACCCCCAAATCATGGAGATATGTCACAGAAGAGGCAGAACATACAAGTATGAACCTGAAAATTAGCCTAATGGGGCCCCTTTAAAGGATTTCCCAACAGCTTTACTTTCAACTTTGTGGTAACCACACTGTATTAGGAAGCGGCTGAGTTGAACTGATTCCAAAATATTGAATACATTAATGTTTAATGTGCTGCAACAGGTCTCTAATGCATTGCAAATCAACCAGGCGGTCTTTTGATTCAAAGGGAGCCACGCTGTGTTAAGTTAATTAAGTCTGATAGATGTTTTGCTTTCATAACTGATTAAGGCGCCCAGCATAACCCCTGAGTTTATAGTTCATGAAAATACTTCCGAAATCTATAAAGAAAACTCGTTTTTTACACCCTCACACTCTAATTAATTAAGTTGGCCTTGATCCTTTTAGACAAAGATTGGAGTCAGGCCAAAAGAACATGGACAACACAAGCATACATGTCATTAAAAGCTTGGTCACCTACTCTCAGTTTAGTGTTCACAACACATGCTCGTAGTGACTGTAAGCCATTAAAGACAGACCACAGTGAGATCTGTTGTTTCACGGGATGAAACAACAACAACGGTTATGATCTGTAACAAATAATGTCCTCGTTTTCAGATGCCATCCACATTATTCAAGCCCTTTCCAGGATTACATTTCAATTGTCCCATCACAAACAACTAATGAATAGGTCCGGTCCGCAGTGAACTCTTTGGCACTGATTAATGAGGAGTGTTGATTCAGGCCTATTTTTTCCTGAGCCAAATGTGATGCTTGAGCCTCCACAGGGTTGTTATCCAGGCTTAACAGTTGGCCCTCATTTTGAAAGTCTAACACATCTTACACAAACATTTCTAAAGGCTTTATTGTAGCGATGACTGCTCCAGATGTGAGAATGTGCTGCATTGAAATATACGTACACAAAGAAACCAACCTTATAAACAACAATCTGTCTTGCCTAACATAGCAGACCATCTATGCCTTCTCCTCGTCTCTTTCTCCTTTCCCCCCTCTTGGACAGGGTATCTCTCCTCTCCTGCCAGTTTGTATATCACTGAGAGCATGAAAATGTGTTTTCAGTTAATAACTCACCTCATCAGTTTTTTATTCCAAGAACAAAAGAGGTTACATGGGGAACACACAAAGGAGCCTTTGTGGCTGTTTATTCTGCTTTGATGTTATTGTGAGGAAGGGTCCAGTACAAATAATAGTAGATATTTATCTATTGGCTTCACTCTAGAATTAACCTTGTGATCATTTCAATGAAATCTCTGGAACATGAACATATTTGTAGGAAACGAATTGCAGTGGATTGTGAAATAATTGTCAGTCTTGAAGAGATTTGTCACATCAATAGATTGTTTTCATTTGTTAAGCATGCTTGAAATCTATAAGTTCAAACATATCAGTATGCCCGATTTCTGCTTGAATAGCAAGAACGTCACATTGTTACATTTTAAAAAGTTAATCAAAGTAACAGTGAAGGAGTATACCTCCGGTTTACTATTAGAGATCACATCACTTAATGGAAATGGTTGTACAACATCATGAAGTCAGAACTAATGAGGAAACAGTGATATCCTCAGGGATATTTTGGCTTGGATATAGAGACTTCCTAGTCATAACATCTAGGGCTGTGTTGCAGTCTTGACGTGTAAAGTCTGAATATGATACCAGACAGAAACATTCTCATGGAAGTTGCATTGTGGAAAGTGTAGGATCCAGTGTTTTGAACAAAAGAGAGTTAAAGTCAGGATATTTCTGTCTCTCCTGTAGTCTCTTTTGAGTCCCCCAACTTAATGAAAGTGCAATACACAAGCACTGGAGTCCAGCTTTAAAATGGGTGTTTATAATGGCAATTTACATGTCTCAATATCCTCTTTGCAGTTGCCATTAATACACAGGAAAGTCGTAAAGGCAATCTTAAAAAAATATTATTTTCCTGACGTTGGATGAAGTTTAGCTGGATGCTTATCAAGCGGTTGTACAATACCAGACCCTATTTATACACCCCCGTGCAGCTTGTCATCTTCACCAAGTGTTACATGATAAATATAAACAAAATAATATAACATGCCAACAATAAACATACATGGCTCCTTCGGTGTTTAAAGATGATCACCTCATCCCCGGTAAGACTGAAAAGGGAAGTTGTTGTTGTTGTGAATTATTTTTTATTTACTATACAGTCTTTTCTCCTAATGCCGAGTAATTGCAGAGTTGAAGAGAAGAGGGAAAAAGTAGAGGTGAGCTTTTGTGACCAGGAGTAATGTGATGCATTAAAAGATAATGCAAGCTAAGAACCCACATTTTGTTTGATTACTTTATAGTTCGAACAAATGATCAACTGGTATTAATTATGTATAGAGAAATGACACAGAAAATGTAACTATGGGAGGGAGAGCAACAACCACAAGCTACAAAACAAGGTTTATTTATCACAACATAGCTGGTGACAGAACCAGAAAGGTATTCATCCAAACACTGTTATCACCATCTCGTGTTTGTGGTTGTGTGGTTTCAGATTTGAAGGGTTTAGGTTTTTTTTTTTAACAAGTTTTATGAGTCTGTGCTGAAGTCAGTGAGTCCCTTCTGAAATATAACAGCCGTTCCTGTGACCGATCATTGCCCAAAACTGAGGAAAACTCACTTGTATGAAACTTTGAAAACAAAAGGCTATTTTCTTCTAGAATGATGTAAGTGCTGAATGAAAACACTGCACTTATGCAACCTGAAGTATTGAATTATCACTTTAAAATGACTTAGTAACAGCGGTTTTGTCAGGGAAAACAATGGCAGGACTCACTGGCTGAAGAACAACTCCATTATGTCACTGACAGCAACAACAAGTCTTAGAAGAAGGACATTTGACTTGGCTTGAATAGGCTTGAGTTTCACTTGAGCCTGTATGCAGCATAACAAATACAGCTATTATGAGAAAAATAAATGTGCAATTACATTAAGCATCATATCTTTTTAGTACCTGTAAGCTCTGCTGTGTAGAGCTTGAAAGTTGTATTTCTGCAGCGTGTCTATTCTTTGTCATTTGGCACATTGTCCTCATCACCATTCATCATATTTGAAGATGAAAACATCCCAACCAGACCCACAGACTGAAGGCTAAGTGCATTATGATACTCACCAGCAGCAGGAAAACAAGCAGACATGAATATGATCATGTATATTCCCATGAAATATCTGCAGAGTGCGTATTGATTTATTCCACCTGGGCTGAAGCTGCATTCCACATCTGCAAGCTGCTCTGCAGAATTTAAATCATATGTAAGAGGAGGCTGAAGTCACAAGGGGAACGAACAGAACATGACCAGAAATAAATGACGTTTTTATTGTAAGCCTGCAGGAGATGTCACACATGACCTTTCAACCATAGGGTTAATAAGAGATTTGATATTGAAAGATATTGAACTGAAGGGGTCTGCTTAGATTACAAACAACTAAATAGCCAGATCCAACAAAAGGATTCTATATAAGGATCCCTTGCTAGCTATAGACAATAGGTTTGTTGTTTAAAATGAACTTTTGCCTACAGTATTAAGTATTACAGTATTTCCTGGAAGGCAAGTCAAAATAAATAGTCTCCTGATACATTTTCTCTTTAAAATAGTTTTTAGAGAAAAACTGTATCAGGATTTTCTCTAAATAGTTTTCTATTCGTGGTTTATGACATAAGAGCAGGAGGAATGGCTCTTCTGAGTAACTTTAATGTGTAAACAGCTGAAGAAAATCTACTTTTGGCTGTTACGTGTGTTAATAAGTTAAGTAAATGAAACGGCACATTAAAGGCACATTTCTCCCCAATCTGTTTCACAGATGAAACATTACATTTTCCTTCAAAACCTTTTTTCCCACTTAAAGAGGCCCCATTATGCTTTTTGGGGTTCTCCTTTCCTGTTGTAAAGGTTTTTGTGCATGTACTTGGTCTGCAAAGGCTAGACCAATAAATAGCTTTTTGAACATTAAAGCATGTCAACATGTCACAGGAGTAGAGGAACAAAATACAAATATGAACCTGGAAATGAGCATAACATGTCCTTTTTAAGTCTAAACACAAGACAGGAAACTGTTTATATCAGACTTAGAAAATATTTAGTTCTACCTTGCTTCTCAGTTTCATCTTTGCTATGAGCCATCAATCTTAATAAAGGCAAAGCGATATGAAAGCACTTACAATTTCACACAAGGTTGGTTTTCTCACCCATTCCATTCACACCAGTTGTGATGTCAACATCAAGGAAATGTTATCAAAGGAATAAATTAATTCACAGTTAATCTGAGGTTGAATATGTATTAGAGAATCTGTACAGGTGGGGGTTCAGCTCCGTTTTGGTTGGTGTTTCTCTCGGACTCTATGCTGGCTGCTCGTTCCATTGTTTCCTTATGGACCATCTTGTGCTTTGTCTTAATGTCCCTCAGCAGCGACAGAGCTTCCTTTTGCTCCTGCTTGTTAACACCGGTGCCGTGTATGGCCCTGCCTGCAGAGAACAGAATGTTATATAGAGAAAGGTCATGACATGTAGAGTTAGCGGACATTGACTGTATCAGAAATGTTCATACTTAAGGGGACTTCTCTGATCGTTGTACTCTCCTTAATTTCCTTTATCAGTTTATCCACCCTTTCAGTTGGCTGCTTTATCGGCTTCAATGGCGGAAGTTCCTTAATCTGTGAACAGATTTAAAAGTCAGGACACAAAGGCGATAACAACGTATTTTATTCTTTATAGCCCCTTTATTTCAACTTGACAGTAATATTGAGGGTGAATGCAATATATAGAGACCCTTTTCTCTCTTTTGCTGTAAGGCATCTGGATGCTATCAAGTTTTGGTTTTGAGTCTCTGTAAACATTCAGATTCTTCAGTTTGTGTTCCAGCATCCGAACAGCTGTTTGAATTCCTGTTGAAAGAAGAAAGAAAACATGAATATTCCCCTAAACTATGGGGGAATTGTAAAGCCAAACGTTTAAAGGCTTTAGAACATTTTTCAAAAATAAAGAGCTGCAGGAGAAAGTGCCGCCCTCACCGACAGGCTCCACCACATCGGGATTCGGTTTTGTGTCCATCAACATTTCGTAGAATCTTTCTGGAATGGTATCGGCTTTGTTCGCTGAAATCTCTTTTTCATCAGCTTGAAGATCACACTCAAATTCAGGAACTTGTGTTGCCTGAACATGAAATAACACTGAGAGTATATTTGCAGAGAGGTAGAACATTAAAAAAAACACAAAAACTGGACATGCACATACCTGAGTAACAAAGAAGTGCTCTGTGCTTTCTTGGAAGGTGTCGTCTCTGCAATTCCCGCTCTCAGATTCTGGTGTTTCCTCTGCAGTCGACTCACTTTTCTCCACATGAGTTTGGGTGAGACAGGGTGCCTCCATCAACAGGGGCTTCTTCCACACTTTGGGGGGTCTTTCTATGAACTGTGACGCAAAGATGTCACCAAATGAAGTGACTCTCGTAAAGAAAATCTGGCTGGTCACAATCAAAAATCGAAGCAGAACGGATGTTACCTTCCATTTAGGGTCAGTGGACACCTTCAGTGAGAGCTTCAATGGCTCTTGGGTCTTTTTGCGATTGATCCTAATCCCCAGTTTCGCTTTGAGGTAATAGGTCAGTAAGGGAGGATCTCCTGTGTCCAAGAAAAACATAAAGCCAATTTTAACATTGAATATTCCGAAAGATACTCTTACCGGAGGAGAGAAGCCTTACCGCTCCTCTGTGTGGTCAGAGGGTTGGAGTGAATGTCAATTTCTCGAAGCATCGGGAAAAGAGCGACCGCCATCAGCGCTTCCTCCTCAGAAATCTGATGAAGAAACACGGATGAGACATGTTAGCTGATTTTAAAAAGGGGTTGTATTTGCTATATTAGAACAATTGATCCAACACACCTTGTTGATTGCTAAATTGATAAACTGAAGCTCAGGTAGTGGGAAGCTGGATCTTTCAGCAGCATTAGGATTTGTCTCAGTGTGGCCTGGATCAAGGAAGAAAGAGATTTTTGATTTTTTTTTAAAATGCAGGTCCATTGTTAGTTATTTATAAATGATATCAAGCATTTACCAAAACCCTCTTTGTATGTTTGCTCTTCAACAGAAGTCTGAAAAGGCTTGGAATAGCCCTCAATTTGCGAAAATGTAATTTCAGAAATATGGTTCCCCTGCAGGTTTAGATACTTCAGCCTGTAAAAGATCATTATAAGATGTTTTTACGCATTGTGACATTAGAGACTACCTCGAGTAATACTTCAACCACATCATGACCTCTTAAGGTTTGCCAGACTGTTGAAGACTCCAGAGGACAGTTTGTTATCGTCCAGCATCAGGACCTCAAGAGCTCCAAACTGTGTGTCTGGCCTGTAAACACAGAACAAACAACACAATTCACTAAGACTATGACTTCCACACAAACACGGATGAATGCATGAATGTGTACAGTAACATACGACATACAGTTTGTGGGCACACCACTTCCTGCTCTTTATGAACCTGGCTGTCCAGCAGGTGTATCAAATGTCTCTACAGTTGCTACACTAGATTCAGGAGTGTGAATTAGGAGCATTTTGTGCACCACCTCTTGGTCAATTTGAAAACTTTATATACATGCATTGCAGTTTGCGGCCTCTCTCTGTACAGTAAGTAACGCTTAAGACAAGTTGTTGTGTTATGAAATCATAATAATAATAATAATGGATTACATTTTTTATTTAGAGCGCTTTTACAGGTGCTCAAAGCGCTTTACAATTACATATTACACATATTAGACATGTAAATGTCATTACTGTGGACATTACCCACAGGAGCAAATGCGGGTAGAGTGTCTGGCCCAAAGACACGACGGCCTGACGCAGTGGCGGCCGAGGCGGGTTTCGAACTGGAGTTCACCAACGCCCCTTGATCTACGCTCTAACCACTGCGCCAAAACCTCCGCATACCCTTGTACTGTTTATTATTGTCATCATTATTAGTTGAATAACTGTGTATACTCTTAACTGTAACCACAAAGGCATTGTGATATAAGATATTGTAGCCTACTATGCTTCAAAACATCAATATAAAGTACATTCTGCAATAACAGATTTAAAAAGCAGACTGGATCATGTTGGATCATGTTCATAGCATCATGTTGTTAGATACTTATTTGTCCTCGAAACACTGAAGCAGATTAATTGTATTTAATTCTGCCAGCTTTTCCATGACTCACATAATAGGTTTTTTTTGTAATAGCTTTTAAATGGAAAGTAGGCCCTGTCTCACAGGCAAAAGAGCCAATACACAGAGCTGTGTGTGACAGAGCTGACCTGTTTGTGAAGTGAATGACAGAAAAGCAATCCCACTCTGGTAAGATTTGATCAATTATCTTCTTGTGCTTTTGACATTTTTTCCAGAATAAATGAGAAAAACTGAGAGGAGTGGATTCATTTGGGCAAATGTAAATCAAACTAAACAGGTAAACAGTAACACTATTAACAAATGTAGCATCTGAATTGTCACAGTATCATCTGCTCAAAAGTGAAGGATTTGTTAAGTAAGGAGTGTGAATGCTCTAAATAAAATATAATATCTTGACACTCTCAATACCTATTCTACAAAAGAGTGATAGTGCCAGGGGGGAGAGGAAGAGGAGGAAGATGTGTTGGGCATTGTGAAAATAAAGATTACATGTTAAGAATAAACTTGACACTTCATGATGCCTTTATGCCTGGACAATGAAAAGTAAGGTACGAACAGGTGGGACGGGTCATGGTTGGAGGAACCCAGATTAGGAGGAAGACGATGAAGCTGATTTCCAGTCAGGTGAAGGCGTTTTAGATGTGGAAGCCGACCCAAGGAAACAATATCCTCTGCAGACAAACTGTTGTAGGACAAATCCAAAACCTGTAATGATTTAAAGAAATTGTTAGGTAAAGTTGTTGCTCATTTGGAAATATTATTGATATTTGACACAAATTATAGCCGATCCTTGTAATTTGTTGTCGCTGTAATTTTAATAATATAAAGGTATGATATAGGCAGATATACACAACCTAGATGTGCAATGAACATTGTTTTCTCACTATTTAAGATCAATGCAGAAGTGAAACAAGCTAATAGAACACATTTTGGATGAATATATAATGTTTAGATGCCACCCTCGCTGCGAGGGGGACCCAAGTTCCCATCAGCAAAAACACGTGGGTTTGCTATCCTGGCTCCAAGATGGTGGAATGAGCTCCCCATTGACATCAGGACAGCAGATATCTTACACACCTTCCGGCGCAGACTGAAAACTCATCTCTTTCGACTCCACTTCGAGCGATAGAACTATTAACAAAGCACTTATATACTAATAAAGGACTGGCTTATCTAAAGCCAGTTGAGTAGCACTTGAAATGTTTTTGCTCTATGAAACCTGATGTACTTATATGATTCTGTTTTCCTCAAGTTTGTATTTTGTTGGTCGAACGCACTTATTGTAAGTCGCTTTGGATAAAAGCGTCAGCTAAATGCAATGTAATGTAATGGTTTGACTAAATGGGCATGTAAAGTTATATTGTTAACCATGTGGCAGGTCAAAACCCAAATATACAATTTTAAGAACGTAATAGTGGTCTATTAAATAAGAGAAAGTCCCTTACCTCGAGATGAGGGAAGTCAGCAGCTTGAAACGTCATGTTGCTGATCCGATTTAATGACACATTGAGTTGCCTTAAAGAAACAAAACTGCTGAAAGACCCTGTAAAAACACATTGTCTTAAAGAAACATGCAAGAGGCACAACTTCTTATTGAAGGAAAGTCTGCATGATGTATACAATAATCACCTAAAGAAAGGGAGTTAATAGATGCATCAATGTGAACTACATTGTCAAACACCTTGAGCTCTTCTGGCTTGACCTGTGCACATGAAGAAACACATATTAAATGTGTTTTACCCACTGAGTTTCAAACAGTTCAAATGTGTGAAAAGTCATTCTTACAGAGTTCAGTTTCTGCTCACTGATGTCAACGGAGCACAGCTCAGACGGATTACCAACACAATGTAACTTGAGCTACAAAAGAAAATTGTGATTGTTTGTGGGCACCGAAAGAAAAAAAACATCTTGCTACAATTTTGTCAAATAAGCACATCTATAATATGTTTCAGAGCCTTACCAGTAAAATCCCATCTAATGTGTTATGAGGAGTCTCAGCCCGCCTGCTGTTCCCACATTCTTCAGGAGTCTCTTTTATTCTTCTACGCACATTCCTGTGGTTCTGCTCGTCTGTCGTTCTGTGATATTCAAGCAAATGTCCAGCCGCTACAGGAAAGTTGAATTGAAATATAATCAGCATGCAGATTTACAAATGTATAATTAATAACCATGGTGGTCAGTGGGGGAAGAAAAAGGCTATTGAGATCCGTTATTTCCCTCAAAGTACACACTGTGAAAAGGCTCCTTTAAAGTAAAAATCCTGCCTCATCAGTCATTTGCTATTATTACTTTTTTGGATATATATTGTTACTGCATAAAATGTGTTTGCTGCATTTTAATGTTGTGATGTTGTGCTATTTTTTAACTCCTGGGTGTACTACTTGGTAGTTTAATCCTCAGCAAAACATCATATTCTATAAAATAATATAATATTGTAGTAGTAGGGTATTTAGTTTAGCTTTTCTGAAAAAAAACAACAACCATGTTTCTCTGAAAATAACTTTTAATGAGCTTAGAACAACAGCCCTGTTTTCATCTTTGTGACTGTGCATTTATACTTCTATTCAAAGAGGGGTTTTGAATATTTAGCTTAAGAAGTAGGATACTTGTATTCATCCATAAATGAACACTTTTTAGTTTATGACAAACAATCCCAATAACAAAAACTTGACATTTCATTGGACAGCAAAGGGTGTGTAAATCTGTAGTATGGGAGCCTTCATGTATATTGTAAGTAACTTCTTTGTTTTTAACATACCTTCTTTCCTCCGGCTGAGCAATGTCCGGGGTGGGAAACATTTGGTGAGATTCTTCTCTCCATTATCACATTTATAGGACGCTGCAGTCATCTTGTTTGCTTGTGATATCCATTTATCAGCAAACAACTTAGCACGTAAGTGTTAATGAGGCTATTCGCGAGGTAATGTAGAAATACTTCAAAATATTTTTGGTCTGGAGCTACACTGTAGTCCTCTGTATCCTAGCAACAGCATGTAAAATGAGAGCCGTTCTCCCGTCCGGCAGGAGGCGGTAAAGAGAAAACATGGCGAGACTAGTTAGTCAAAGATTGACTTCACTGGTAAGATAGAGGTCTGCCCCATGGATGTATAATAAGAACGGTCTGCCCATGCAGGTGAACGTACTTTAAAACATTGCACATATAGTGTTATGAATACGCCATCGTTTTTCATGCACAACACGCGGTGTACGACTTACAAAGACGGATAAACGATCGACCCCTGTTCATTTTACACAGTTTAGCGAGCTAGCGTCTAAACGGAATTGACAACACTGCGCATGCGTGAGCCAGGACACCGTAATAAGTCCGTGTTTCTGATAACTCCTGTCTTCCAATACTTAGTAGCCACTTTATATCTCATTTAGGTTATGTGAAAGCGCGAGTAAGCGAGGAATGCTTGAATTAAAACTGAAACTAAAGTTCTAGCTTACGTATGTATTTTTAAACAAGACGTCTGAGCGAACCCGGAAGTAACAGAGAGTGTATGTTTCGCTTTAGAGCCGTCTTCTTTTCAGATGGACCCATAGCATCAGTGTCGTGAAAATTAGAGGTCTCTTTTATGGCGTGATATTAGACGGTATAATGCCGTTAACGAAAAGATCAAGGGTGTCCAATGTGAAGAGTGACAAGTGAAGGTGAGCATTTTATTATGCATGCACACTATACGTTATGTGCAATTTGTCACAACGCTGTCATATGTGTCTATGAGGAGCTGTTGGACTGTGAACTCTTTCTGTCTCAACATTGTTATACCAAACCAACACTTTTCACATTATTTGGCACATGTTCAATTCGCAGGAAATCTGATCCACCATGGGAAATACACCATCAAAGAGTCGCAGTGGAGATGAACCAGTCAAAACAACTTTGTTTGAAAAGGAGCCAAGTGGGATAACATACAGAATCCCTGCTCTCATTTATCTGAGGCACAGTCACACCTTCCTCGCCTTTGCAGAGAAAAGATCCTCACCCTGTGACCATGATGCCAAAATCCTTGTTATGAGAAGAGGAATGTTGAAGGATGATGGATCTGTTCAGGTTATTATTCACTTGCATAAACCAGCATATTAACCTTTGCTTAAATACTGATACCTGGTAACGTGATCTATGCTCATCTTTTCTAACTCTTGTCTTGTAATGTTTTTCAGTGGTCGTCCAGTCAGGAGCTATCAACAGCATGCCTCCCAAACCACCGCACTATGAACCCCTGCCCTGTATACGAAAAAAACAGCAAAACACTGTTTTTATTTTTCATCGGTATCTTGGGAAACACCACAGAGTTGAGGCAGATTCTCACAGGTAAGAACAAGACGCGCCTCTGCTGTGTTAGCAGCAGCGATGACGGGCAAACCTGGAGTCAAGCGAGAGACTTAACACAAAGTGTGATTGGTGAAACTATCCATAAGTGGGCCACGTTCGCTGTGGGCCCGGGCCACGGTGTTCAGCTGGAGAACGGCAGATTGATCATCCCAGCGTACGCCTATTACGTCCCTTACAGATGCTGCTCCTACCCCATTCCTTTCACAGTCTACCCACGTGCTCTGTCAGTTTATAGCGAGGACTTTGGCCAGACGTGGCATATAGGTAAGATGCTTCGAAAAAAGTCATGTGAGTGCGAAATGGCAGAGATCATAGACCACGAGGGCAGGAGTCATCTTTACTGCAATGCTCGTAACACTGGGGGCCACAGGTGTGAGGCCCTCAGTGAAAACAGCGGTGTGTATTTTGACAAACCCCACATTGCTCCGGAGCTGGTGGAGCCGCCTTCAGGCTGTCAGGGCAGCGTCATCGGCTTCCCTGCCCCTGAATTTGTCCCCAACGATGACGCTGAAAGCAAAGCTTGTGGCACGTCGCTCTTGTCTCCAGACACGCAGACCTGGCTCCTCTTCATCCACCCGACCAACAAGTCTAGTAGAAGGGACATGGGTGTGTATTTGAACCGATCCCCCCTGCACTCATCAGGGTGGGACAGGCCCAGGATCATCCACAGCGGGCCCAGCGGATACTCAGACCTGGCTTACAACGGAGACAAGGATCAGTTCTCGTGCTTGATGGAGTGCGGGAAAGAGAGTGAACTTGAGCAGATTGCGTTCATGTCGTTTAACCTCAATGATGTCATGCAGACGGGCAGTAAGAAAGACAAGAAAATGTGCTGAATGGCTTTTTTTTCTCTATCAACAAAGCTCTCTTAACATTCTCCTGCAACCTAAAAATCCAAGCAAAGGCTACTAAATATTCTGTGCAGTAACATCCGTCTGTGTTTACTGTTGTTCTACAGTCAGGAGGTTAAAGCATGCATGAGTCGTGTGTTTTGTTGTCTCCTCGTTTACATGAAAAAATAATCCAAGTCTTAATAGTATTGATATGCAAGCAGCGTGTGTAAGAAAAAGAAAAACTATTTTTAATCGGTTGGGCGTCTGATTTCAAGCATGCTGTGCTGGACTGTCATCTTTGCAACAGGCTTTGTGTGTAGCATGTTTGACAAGTACATCAATGCCCATTTTTGCATCTTATTAAACTGTCAGTATATCCTGAGCAGTGGAGAGAATCAGCCTACCTCTTTTATTTTCATATGAAGATCATAGCAGGCCTTGTATAGTAGAGCGTAGACTTTCCTGCGTGCTCAGCCTCTCCTTCACATTTAGTATACTCTGATTCACATATGCCTTCTATCTACTCCACTGTTTAAACTTAAGCTGTGCTGCAGCCTATCAGTGCATAGCCCTTTGTGTAGGTCGCAGTGCGCGCTGCGAAGTTGGCATACAAAAATAGACAGAAAAGATTTTTTAAATCCTTTAATTGCCACAGCCAACCGTAATCAATAAGGAGACAAACCAAACTGTACCACATCTATGAGTTTATTGTCAAAAGCATGTTTCTGCGCTACTTTGTACTGTACATAGATATTATTATTTTCCAAAGCAATATTTCACTTGGTTCTTTTGTTTTCTTATTTATTTTCAGGTGCATTTATTATTGTGCTCTTAACAGACTTTTTTTCCCCTTGGCATCATAAAGTTAATGCAGTGTCATGACCAGGTATGATTGGCTGGCTGTTGGTTATCAAATGAAAGCATGTAACGGCATGAAACAGCAGAAGAAGACTCACTATATTTATAACCCTTCTAGAAATGTGCACACACTCAACCTTGCGTCCATCTTGCCTAATGTTGTGTGGCCAAATGCCTCCAGGTGGCTTTGAACTAGTTTCATTGTGTTTTTGTTGGCTGTTGTGGAAAGTGTCCAATCCTGCATGAAACATGTGTTTTAGTAGAAAATAAAAGTTACTGTGTGATCAAGCAATTCATCTTTTGTTTGCTTTTGTACTATTTATAATCTGATAGTGTAATTATTATTGCTTTTAACAACTGAATGTAGGGAAGAAGAACATTTAAAATAATTATCAACTATCATATAGGAATCGGGAGAGAATATACAGCATGGGTGTGTTTTTAAAAAGCAGCTTCGAAGAACACTTTATTGGCTGAAGGGATAATTGGATTCCCTCAGCAGCTAAAGGAGACAGAGGACATGTCGAAGTGATGTGAAGGACTTTTGTTATATAGTGGCCGGTGGGGAATGGAATGGGATTCAGCAGATGTGCTGAAAGCCGGACTGAATTAAGGACAGGAAGGAGCCTTTTAGATGTGGATAAATGTGGATTTTCTTTATTTTTTTCCACAACAAATATATGATACCTCTACTATTAGGAAAGTGGTAGTGTTTGCTAAATTGCATTTAACCAATGAGACTAGCAGTGTCATGACATGCTTAAAATGAGTGCTTTGACAAAGGAAAATTCACTAATACCACTCTTACGGGTACACTGCAAGTTCTCACAAATCGTATTGCAACCTCAAAGGTTAAGCGTTATGTTAATGTTATTATTGTCAAATCCAATGGAAATACTATTAAATGTTACTGTTTTACCCCCTCCAGACATCATGTGCTCCTACTGAAGACGTTTATTAAACATAACAGGCCATGAACACATAGTTACATTTTTAAGGCTTAGTAAGTTCAATCAAGTGGAACAGCTGGACACTATCAAACGTTCCTCAAACAGAAGTAAATGCTGCGGATCTCTGGGACTATTTTCAGCTCTGGATTATTTCACCAAGTATTAAGCAGGATGGTCAACCAGTGCGATGGAGTGACTCACTGATGTGTGTGTTTAAGTGTTTTTCGACAACAATCGAGGCGATAGGACAGCTCAGAGGAATAAAATACCTGAACTTCACTGAGTGTGAGCACTCAACTCATACTGACAGATTGGCCTGCTTCATTTCAATACTATAGTTGTAATGAGACATACAGTATGCACCCTTTGGTACACAGCAGCAGATACGGTCTGCATTCAAATGATCAATGAACTGGTATAAAAGCAACAACTAGGCAAGAAACTGTATTCATTCAATGTTGGGGCTTGTAAATCTGATATGTGGCCAGCTTCATCCTTTCTCACTGTTTTCCATCACCTTGTCCCAACAGCTTCTCCAGAAAAAAATGAATCATGCAGTGAAACCTGTTTATCTCAGACAGCGTTGGCGGTGACAAATCCAATATTTTACAGCACATATGATAATCTTTATCAGAGGGTGGCTCTCGGTGATAAACACATAATAGTTACCTTTATCACTCCGATGACATTTGGGAGTCGAGAAACGAGAGGCTGGCAGATGTTTTGTGTTTGTGGTGAGCATGTGTTGTCCCAATGGACTCGGCACAGATCAGCGCTGGACTCACAGCTCTCACATTGTTCCTGTAACATCCATTTGAATGACTCAGGGGCCCGAGGGACATTATGGAGGAGTCCATTTAGTTTACAGTTTGAGTACCATTTTGATTTTCTAAAGCAGGGAAGATATTGTATGGTTTGGTAGTTCTTGCCTTTTTTTAGGAAGAGTTAATTGCAGGTCAAGTTTTAATTTTATCCAACTTGATA